AGCACAATTATACCTTTCACAGCAGCAAATTACTGTAGAAGAAAATTAGAGCTGATGTTCTTTGGTAATGGATTGCATTTTTATGTGATAGTTTTCTTCTTTTCCTTTTCATCTACAGACCTCAACAGAAAAGCATCTCTTCTGTTACCTAGAAATGTTCGGTTTTGCCTCTTGTTTTCATATATTTTCTTCACATTGTCTTAAAGCAAGAAACATCTGGTGCTATATTTGAATAGAAAGATTGACGATAGAAACCTGCCTTCCTTTTTATTCCTTTATAATACTTTAAATATTCATTACTTCAGAGGATTCAGTGTCATATTATTCAGCTCAGTAAGCCTTTTACCTGTAATATTAATCATATCCATGTTGGTACTAACCGTGCTGCTGTAAGATATGAGAGTATATTGCAGGTGCCTGAGAGGAGGGATGTTTAAGGACTGGATTTAGTACCTTGTTCAAATAATGGATTTGGAAACTTGGAAAAAATATTTTAAAAGCTTCCGTTCTTTTAATTTTTTTATATAAAAAGTGGAATTTTAGTTATGAAACATAAGGTTTTGCCATGGGAGAATTTCTGAAGACTTTACATTTGAACATGACTATAGAGAATATTTGTAGCTATACCAACTAGTTGGCAGTTTGCTCTTCTCCACACTCACATGTTGTGGACTCCACTTTGTAGCCCCATTTCTTGATTGGCTCTGCATCTCGTGGTGTCAGAGTGCAGTCTGTTCAGCACCTTCCAAATTGCCCAGTTTTCTGTGTGCCCAGGATGTAGAATGCAACCCCAGTCTAGTGCCTCCCCCCAATGTTTTGTACTTAAATTCCCATCATTCCTAGCCAGCATGGCCCATGAGCAGGAGTCCCAGGTATGATTATTGAAAACATCTGGAAATCAACTGATGAAGAAAGCTGTTATAAGAAATGCAAAATATAAAGAAAAGAAAGATATCAAGTACACATTTATATTGTTTTTATCAAGCATCCTTCATGCTTCTTTTCTAAAGCCTCTTCCACACAGTTGTATAAAATCCACATTGAACTGGATTATGTAGCATTGTGAACTTGGATAACTCACTTCATTATGATTATTATCTGCCTTGATATTCTGGATTATATGGCTCTGTGAAAGGGCCCTGAGATAAATAGTGGGGGGGGGAGGGAGAGAGATAGAAATAACTTTGTATCAAATACAGTGCATATAAGGAAGTAGGCTGTGCTGGGATTAGAGAATGCCATATAAATCTTTCTGATCATCCCCAAGAAGGAAATGTTTGTGAAACTGTGTTATAAAAACCATATTGTTCTAGGAGTTTCTAAATCATTTATAAGCTTCACTTTACACTTTCTATGGTCAGAGTTTATTAACTTGAAGGAACTAAACCCCTGATGCTACTTCTTGCCCTTTTCCCCTGCGTGTTGTTTCAAGTCAATATTTTGGTATCGCAAATTCATACTGCGGTCTTTTTATCATCTTCTGTAGCAAGCTTATGTTTGAGTACCATGCCAGTATAATAACCACAAAGCTGTAAATAAAGAATATGAAGCTAAGATTTGATTGATGTGCCATCTGGGGAAAAGCAGAGCATAGCCACAAGATAAAATACATTTAAGATAAAATGATCAGATTGGCAGCGTGTGTTTTTCCATTATCCAGAGATATCAAGAAATCACAGGAGAAACATCATCCTTTTAATCCATGATAGTTTTACTGGTACAAGCAGTTTTGTCTTCTCTGCTTGCATTCAGGTTTTAATCTTCCTTTAGCAGCCAAAATTTAATGGGATAGGAAGCAGAATAAGGGATATGGAGACCTTGAACTTTCCTGTTTATCAGTGGTCCTGTAATTCCTTTGACTATGTAGTTAGAGGGAGAAATGAAAACTGAGTCTTAGGTCAAAGGCCAAAGTACAAATCATGTGTAAGGCCTCTTCTACGTTGTCCTATAGCCCAGGATCTGATCCATGATTATCTGCTTTAAACTCAATTATATCAGTCTCCACTGCCAGATAATCTGGAATAAGAAGATAATCTGGGATCAGATTCTGGAGTATAGGGGCAGTGTGGAAGGACACAGCTCTGTATAGGGAATGTTTTGAGTTGTTAAATCTAAATTTTGTTATTGGAATTAATGGAACATAAAGGGCTTAGCCTATGGTTATATCATTACCCTTCTTCTGGAAATATATGATGAATCAATTTCTGTTCTGAAGAATTATGAAGCAATGCAAGATCTGTATATAAATTTAATTTCCTGCTGTACATAATGGATTTGGGATACATTTTGCAGTTGCTATAATTGCGGGTTCAATATAAAGATGGATATGCTATTGCCTTTCGCATGGCCTTGTTCTATTCTTACACTAAAAATGATGTTTTGGCCACAAGGAGGAAGCAGTTTGCGGTGGCACTGATTTCAGAAGCACCAATGGCTAAGGGGAAATAGAATTTAAGAAACAATTAATTAAAAGTTTGGTTTTCTGTAATACTGTACTAGAGACTGCAGGAATTTGGATTTTGCTTCTCGTTATAGAAGAGCAACGTCTCAGTACTCCGTTTTGAAAGCAAGCTTTGGAATGCCATTTCTCTTGATGTTGGTAGGATCATGTTAAGGGGACCCATGACCTAACATCAGATGTAGACACTTTCTTGCGTTCATCTTTAACTATAACATTTATGTTCCAGAGTAAGAGAAAAACATTGTCCTCTGCCATCAGACTTAATGTTGCTAATCACATTTTCAGAACTCATATTTCCCCTCTAACATGCACCAGATTTTGCTTTCTTTACCATCTGTAGTGTTTGCATACAGTAATTTCTTGGAACACAACACAACAGAAGTACTACCATTGAACATATTGTGGTGCTTTAAAATTATTGTGTGAGACAAAACAAAGAAAAACATAAGCTGGATAATATATCGCCTTAGAATTTAAGAGGAAAGCATAGCATTCCTTCCAGACGGTGGACAGCCAGTTGAATGTTATGTTGATTTACCTCAAAAGCTTGCTATTTATCATCTTAGCTTACATATTCCCAACTGTACCATTTTAGCCCAGGGAATAATGTGCTTTTCAAGTGTACAATTTATGGTGCTTGGTATTTATTGTGTGGCATTCAATTGTATTCCCATTTTATATGAAAATGCAATCTTTTTTTAAAAAAAAAATACTGATATTGCTTGGGTTCCATTTGAGTGTCAGTTTTTTTGTTTATCTAATAACAGGAATCACACTAATTGCAGTTCCTAATGTATACTACAATTTTTTCTGGCCTATTTTATATCAACTCTGGACACCAGGACTTTTCCCTCATTCCCATTTAGCTGCTTTGGAAGAGAACAGAGGCCTTTTTTATGTCAGAAATGACTTGAGAAATTGCAAGTCACTTGTGACGTGAGAGAATTGGCCGTCTGCAGATACATTGCCCAGGGGATGGCCGGATGTTTTACCATCCTGTGGTAGGCTTCTCTCATGTCCCCACATAAGAATCTGGAGTTGACAGATGGGAGATCACCAGTGTCGTGGATTCGAACAGCCAACGTTCAGGTCAGCAGTTCAACCGGCACCAGGGTTTAACCCATTGTGTCACCACAGCTCCTGAATTAAAGAGATATACATTTAAAAAGACACTGATTTAAAGAGATTGGTTTTTCTCCAATCTCAGTACTCTCCCTTGCAGAAGTCTGAGATTTAAAGCTAGCAGAGATTTAAAAAGCACAGTATTTCAAAGGATTAGGTAAAGGTAAAAGTTTCCCCTGACATTAAGTCTAGTCGTGTCTGACTCTGTGAGGTGGTGCTCATCTCCATTTCTAAGCTGAAGAGCTGATGTTGTTCATAGGCGCTTCCAAGGTCATGTGGGCAGCATGACTGCATGGAGCACCATTAATTTTCCTGCCAAGGCTGCCTATTGATCTACTCACATTTGCATGTTTTCAAACTGCTAGGTTGACAGAAGCTGGGCCTAACCGTGGGAGCTCACCCCGCTCCTCAGATTCAAACCATCAACCTTTTGGTCATCAAGTTCAGCAGATCAGCTGTTTAACCCACTGTGCCACCAGAAGGCCCCTAATGATTAAATCAAATAATTATATTAATGTCAAAAAATACAATGCCAGGTTCATGAAGCAGGCTTTTGGGAGGTATGTTAAGGCTTGCTAGCAAACTGCCCAAAGGAACATCCCTTCTTCAACCTAGGCAAATTCAAGGTCCATGCATTTTTGGGTATTTTCTCCAGCTATATCTCAGTTACTGAGTCTAGAAGATGCTGCCCCCCCCCCCATTTTTTTTGGACTGTTTCAGACCTTTCCCTAACAAAGCATGACAGCTGACAGGAAGTTCCTCTGTGTAATGAGAAGAGCTCTGTCATAAATCATACCCTCAATGGACTCTAAGTGTTTAGAAATGGGAGGAGGGGGGCAATATGGGATAAAGTCCTAAAAGAGTCAGTTTGACACTTTACTATTAATTCAGTTGGCAAGATAACATTAATTGTATGTTGCAGAAACTTTGCAAATTACTGGTTGAAAAAATATACTGTGTTACTCTGTTTAATAGAGTAGATCCAAAGTTCACACTAAATTGCCTTACTACATTCTTTCTGCAATCTCTTTGATTATACCAGTCTCTGCACATCATCTCAGTAAGAAAGAAGGTTGAGGGGGGGACATTTCTATTTCACTATCTTACCAAGCCTAATGAAAAATATGAATCACACTTCCTTTATAATTTAATGAAATCCATCATTAGCAAGAAGCAACACTTGTGTCTCATATTAAATAATCTTTTGTGACTGGAAAGTCGCTCTCTTAATTTCCTTAGAATTGCTACCAATCTATTTAGCTTTACCAAATGATTGCTATGCTTCTGGCATTTTTACAAGAGAGGCAGTTTCAGGAATAACTGTTACAAGGACAGTACTTGGTACAATTGCTGTAGCAAAATATGCCATTAATTTAAGTCTCTCAATTAATGTGTGATTTTCTTTATAACTCTACAGCGGACCAATCAGGAATGTTATTTATAGGAGATGCAGTAATACAGGTCAGTTTATTCTTACAATCTTGCTTCCCAAATACGTCAATGTTTTAATTATTTTATTCAACCCTGTTATTAACCTGAAGTTACAAATAATGATTCTGTGACATTTTTAGGTGAATGGTATAAGCGTAGAAGGTGCTACCCATGAAGAAGTGGTAAGTTCTCTATCTTATATTGTTTGTTTTTTCCCTGTGTACTATGCTTTGCAGCATGTATTGTTGTTGCCTTATTAGATCTAATTTTCAGTGTCTTTTTAAACATTACTAAACAAGGAGTTGGTATAGTTCTTCACATATGCCAGTTCAAGTGCTCGCTCTTTTCCTCAGCTGTTGTAAGGATAAGTGATGGAGAACAGGTAGGTCTATGTCACAGCCAGAGACCACCACAAAATGAGGAATTGGGGGGGGGGGGGGAATTGCCACACTGTATTCCCAGGCTGCCCAAGTGCAAAAAACATGGTGTGGCAGTGAGGACATTTGCATCCAGTTGCATTTGGGAACCAGCCCTATGTCAGGGAAAAGCACAAATACTTGGACAGAATTCAGACTTTTCCCCAACTTTGGGTAATGCCAGCCAAGACCATACTGAGGTTTGACCATTCAGGGCTTCATCTATACCAACCTATAGATCATTTCATCTATACCAGCATAAGTTATCAGTGTAGATTGCACCACTGAAGACTTCAGGTGCAGCTATACTGTAGAATTGATGCAGTTTGGCACCACTTCTACTGCCATATCTCAATGCTATTTAATCTTAGGAATTGTGGTGTGGGGAGGTACCAACACCATTTGGCAAAAAAAAGTCTATAATGTTTTTTACAGAGAGGAAGACCAAGAGAGGGTTTAGGAGGTTTAAATTTTTTTTAATAAATCAGTTGTTCTTGCTTTCTATACCCCATCAATGCTATTATTTATTTATTTATTTATTTATTTATTTATTTATTTATTTACATGCTTATTTGTTTCAATATTTATATCCCACCCCGTATCATGAAATCTCAGGGCAACATATAAGTAAACTCTACATAAATAGATTGCAATTTAAAACAGCAGAAATAATTTAAATAGACTGAAAGCAAGTTGACAAGTTAAAAGCACAGTTAAAACCATGTAATGCATAAAGATTTTGGGATAAATCAATTTGGCCCAAAGACCTTTGCAAATGTCTGTTTTAATATGGCCCCATTGTTGACTCCAACTGGGCTGTCAAGGGCAGTGATTCTCAACCTGTGGGTCCCCAGATGTTTTGGCCTACAACTCCCAGAAATCCCACCCAGTTTACCAGCTGTTAGGATTTCTGGGAGTTGAAGGCCAAAACATCTGGGGACCCACAGGTTGAGAACCACTTGTCAAGGGGCACATCTACATTGACCATTTAGGTTAGTGTTTGTGCAGAAAAGCCACAAGAGACAGATCTGGCATAACCTGGGGCAAGGCTGTTTTAACATGAATTTGCTCCAAATTTAGGAAATCTTGAATCTTGACCCAGATTTCAGATTCTCCCTCAAGTGATGGATAGTCAAAACAACTGAGCTGATTCCTAACCATAACTGGTGGCAGCTCTCTTGACTGCCATTCTGTGTTCCCCAGGCTTAGGCAATCTAGGTTGTAGGATGGAAATCCCCTGTCACTCCTCCCACCCCACCCCATATTGTGTTTGTAGCCAGCTGCAATATCCTCACCTAACTTCTCATGGCTTCTCTGGCTAATGTCAACCAGAATGCCCACTCTGTGAGTGAGATGGAAAGGGAAAGAAGGCAGGTTCTTCCCCTCTCCATTCCCAGTTTAATTAGTAACACTACACTTGGTGACATGGGTGGTCGTGTTGAAGATAAAGACAGTTGTAATGTGGGAAGGGGAGTGCAGGGGGTACCATATGTTGGCCGTCCAGCAGTGCAGTCGTGACACCGTACCACCTCTGCAGTGGTTCAGGGAGCCCCAATTGATCCACCATGCAGACATGCAGAGGCGATATGGTGTCCTGAACACTGGAACCACCCTGGTTTGTCTGCCAGTGTTAAACTGCTGGAGGTGAGGGTATACCACAGCTGCGTACAACAATTGAGTTGGTCCTCTCCCATATCCCACATAATGTATTGACTATACTGGTGAGGTGTAAAGGAGCCCCCTCTTACAATCCTTAATTCTTGAACAAATTAAATTTCTTTAATTTCATATATGTTCATTTTTTGCAGTTTTTTTCAATCAAGGAAGCTCTTGAAATTAAGATTTCTAGTTTCTTATCTGGTACAAATGAACTTCTTATCCTGTGTATTGTATTCAAGGAACTATCAGTAGCTGAAATGTTAAAGTTACACCTACAACCAAGAAACAAAATGCATAACTTCCCATGTTTCAAATGTCACTTCTATATGTGAAATCTAATTTCCAATTCTCTATTGAATTTCTTTTTTTGGTTGATCATCTACTGCGGTGGATGTACTATGCCAACCATTAATATTATTCAGATGGGGAAAAATTAGGCTGCATGACATTGCTTTGCAAAAAGGATTAAGAAAATCCAATAGAAGCTTTTTTATTGCAAGTCATTTCACTTGACATGGTAAGCACTTAATAGCTTAACAAAAGTCATGCTCAATTCATGAAAATTTTGTCTCATTATAAAAAGCTAAAATGATTACACTTACCATTAGCAAGAATTTAATTTGAAACTTTATATGCTGTGTACTTCTGTTATTCAAGTGAATTGAATGATTTTATGTGTGTGAAAGTGAGTCTAAGGTAGCAATTAATGTAAAGCTTATTTTTCTTCTCTCCTAAACCAATGGAAGTGGGTGGAGATATCATATCAAAACCACTGACAAACTGCAGAGGCACAATGAGAAAACAGAATATTCTTGCATTTTGCTACTCCTGTGTTTTGATTTATCCACATTTATATAAGGACAGTGCATAATCTTCTACAAAACAGTAACTGTGAAGAAACTCATTCGATGTTTGCGTTTCTCGAGCCTCCCTTCCTTCCAGTACTCAGTACACTCTTACCGTAACCATTGCGTTCAGTTATTTGCTGATTTTTTTGTCAATGATGTAAAAGACCAATTAAAATCAATTCCAAAGATACGGTCCATCAGGAGGTGTCAAAAAGAACACCATGATCCTCAGGATACTCCATCCCCTATTCTAAAACGTGCTTTTGCTCTCTATTTGTTTCCTGAACACAGTGACTAATTTTCCCTGTTACTTCAAATGTGCAGTTTCAACTTTCATACATGTTATTTGCCGAAAGAAGGATTTCAAAAATTCGATGCTATACAATAACAGAATAAAGGAGAAGCAAATAGAGAAATAACGCACATCTGAAAGTTACAAAAGAGGAGTTGAATATCGAGACATTCTTCATTTCGAGCCAAATTGCTTCCTCATTCTTCAGTGTTGTAAGTGCACTTCAGAAAATGAGAAATGCTCGGAGTGAACTGGGATGTTTGTACTTATCCTTAGATTGAAAGTGACACTTTATCATAGGGTTACCTTTACTGAGTTTACTTCTTCTGACTGGAAGGTTTTGCCATTTAAACAAACAGTTGTTTCGCCCCTGAGGGATGAATGTTGATACGAACAAATGTGTTTTATGGAATGCTATTGTCAACTTTAAACGAAAAGCTTGTATGCAGAGCAAGGCTGAAACACATAGGGGAGAAATATGAACTTGTGCAGAATAAACAAGTACCATGCCCCAGATCAAACCAGTGGAAGATGAATAATAGTTTTTACTGCTACAGGGAAAAATGAGAAAAATAAGCAAGAATTGGTGTATATATTTTCAGTAAACTATCTTATTCTTTAAAATTAATATGGAAGAGGTAATTACATTGTTTGCATAGTCACTAATTAAATCATCTATTCTTTCAATATCTGAATTTTTATGATTGCTTAGGATTCCTTTGCTTTTTGCAAGTAATGCTAATCAAATGAGAGTATGTATTGTCGAAGGCTTTCATGGCTGGAATCACTAGGTTCTTGTGGGTTTTTTTCGGGCTATAGAGCCATGTTCTAGAGGCATTTCTCCTAACCTCTCCTAACCTCACAACCTCTGAGGATTTTCTCCTAACCTCACAACCTCTGAGGATGCTTGCCATAGATGCAGGCAAAACGTCAGGAGAAATGCCTCTAGAACATGGCTCTATAGCCCGAAAAAACCCACAAGAACCTACAAATGAGAGTAGTTTTTCAGGCTTTTTGAGTGAATTGAATGACTAATGCAGCATTAACAAAACATCAAAATACCTTTGTATGTTCTCATGTAATTGCCAATAAATGTGAAGTAAACTTTTCTTCATAAAATGGACAATTAGTTCACCGATGTTATATCTATATTAATGGGGCCATGTGTGCATATGTGTGAGAGAGGGGGAAAGGAAAGAAGTTATTGAATATATGCACACAGTGCAGTGATATCTCTTTTTAAGAAGAGTATTTAGGAAAATCCAATTTAAATTCATCGGCCTTTGTTCCATGTGCAACCAGTGAGGGAGCCCCCAGTGGCACAGTGGGTTAAACCCCTGTGCCGGCAAGACCGAAGACTGACAGGTTGCAGATTCGAATCCGGGGAGAGGCGGATGAGCTCCCTCTATCTCCAGCTCCTCGTGCAAGGAAATGAGAGAAGCCTCCCACAAGGATGATAAAAACTTCAAAATCATTCAGGCGTCCCCTGGGCAACGTCCTTGCAGACGGCCAATTCTCTCACACCAGAAGTGACTTGCAGTTTCTCAAATCGCTCCTGACACGACAAAACAAAAAAAACAACGCAGTGAGGTATCAAAAATGGGAAGTACCACTGATTTCTCAGAGAACAAAGGTGAAGCTAATGTAGATCCTCTTTAGAGGAGAAGAAAAGATCTCCGGTAATCGCAGGTTTCGTTCCTGTTAAATGCAATTATATTTTGGAAATTCAGATGATGTTTGCTTCATTGCAAAATATTTCCTACAAATTCTCAACATTGTTTTGGACTTTTCATTTCTACATCCCAGATCAGTTTAAGTATTTGCCAAAGGTAATATTTCTCTTTTCTCTCTCCTGAGGAATCTGTACAAGGAACAAGTAGCAACAGTAAGAACTGACCATGGAAAAACAGACTGGTTCAAGATTGGGAAAGGCATATGGCAGGGTTGTATACTCTCACCCAACCTAT